CTCTTCCGGGATGTAATCTATTTGTCGAACCCTGGTCATCCACTCTACAGCACCAGCCACCTCACTAAGTAAAGTACAGGATGTCCACACAGAGATATAACGACCTTGAAGCGTTATATTTTTTTCTGTATTAATGTGAAAATGTTGAATCTTGCACAGATACCACATCGTATATCTAAGTCTCGGTCCTTATATTCTTCCATGTTTCAGACTGACACCTGTGATATTAGACAATGTGTGGAGAGAAATTGAAGATCAGTGTGATGCAGTCTGTGCTACAAATGGTGCACGCTAATATGTACCCATATGCCAAATGTATCTTAAGCATATTACTTATGAGTCGTGTACATATTCTTATGTTTGCATTATTCAATATGGAACCTCAAAGTTGTTGCACTTCAATGTGGACACCCTGTATTCTCTCTCAATACTACTATATTTGTTTAGATAACGTTATAGTACAGTTCAAATGATTATCAATAATGGAATGTATGAAAACAGCTATATTGTTTGGAGATCCATAAAATTTGAATAGATTGAAAAGGAGTCTGTATGCAAAAAGGTTAGGAGACACTGTTCCAAAATACATGTCATATACAGCCAAGTAATCTGGAATGCATTAATGCTGATTAAATGGTCTTCCTGATTTATTTCAATCTATTTCTCTTTCCTTCATCACTTTAGTCATGAAGTATAGGCCTCAAGTCCTTTTAAAAACAATTGTATTTCTGCCATTCTAAAAGCAGCATGAAATAGTCATTCTTAAAACAAAATGCACCAGGATGGAGAAATGACTGACTAAGTTATTTGCAACTAAAAGATTTACCCGGTATTGTTCGGGTCCTTAAATCAATTTTTTTTCTGCATTTAAATCACTACTCTGGGATGGAGAGGGGGGGTTTCAGTATGTAAGCTACCCCAGGGAGAGAGGATTACTCCAGCCCTCATTCATCATAGTGCTTCTCACCTGTCCCCAAGCTGCTTTCTCAATGACCGCTGCAACTCCAGCAGGCACAACCAGAGGAGGGGGGCATGACCCCTGGCTAGGGCAGGTCCAGGTTTGTTTGCCCCCTGTGCTTCCCAGCCAGCGTGAGGAATGGAGCAAACTGTACTTTCCCCTTGCTCCCTGACAATGGGGAACAGCCAGAAATACTCCTGAATGAATTTGGGGGAGAGCCCTCCTCTAATGAGCAAAGGGGTAGGAAGTTCAGAGATGGGGCAGTCCTGGATGGGGGAGAGCATGCCCCAAGCCAACATCTTTCCCCTGCCTGGTGATTCTATCTCTTTTCTGTATGGTTTTACAGATCCCTATACACGAGAGGCTTGAAATATAGCTACACACACTGCAGCGAACGTAAGGCTGCATCCACACTTCTCTCTACAGCACCGTTTCCCAAACTAGGGGCCGCGGCCCGGTACCAGGCCACAGGGAAAAAAATACCGGGCGTCAGTGTGGTTGCCAGGGTGTTCCGGCCTGCTAGAGTGCAGCGGGGCTGGCCAAGGGAGATTGGGAGGAGAAGCAGGGGAGAACTGACTGTTCAGGAGGGGATTGGGGGAAGAAGGGCTGGCCAGAGGCGCAGCGGGGGAAGCGAGACTGACCCGGCCATATGTACATCTCAGGGAGATGGCCTCCTCCCACCCCACAAAGCACGAGTGAGTCCAGCCTGGGGATTCTATTGTGCCCCCCACCCTCACCCCCTGCAGTAGTTGCGAACTGGCTGGCTGGTAGACACACTCATGCAGCCTGAGCACATTTAGCAACCAGGCAGTTTGAAACTACAAACTGATACATCTAGTAATAATAAAACGTACCTAATGTTATATGTCTGGTATTTTCTCAGTTTATGTGTTTATATTTTTGGGCTGCAAAAAACAGTACTGAAAAAAAAGGGTTCCAACTAAAGTAAAAAGTTTGGGAAACCCTGGTCTAACCAGCTTTGTCTGTCTGTCTTACACTCCATTTAGCCAATCCATATTCTTTAACTTGATGGCAAGAATATTGTGAGTGACCATATCAAAAGATTTGCTAAAGCTGGCACTGGGGGCTTTGGGAGGTTCAGAAACAACTTATTTGAATATTCATCATTTGATTGATGAATATGCAAATATGCAAATGAATGTTACCGGTCCTCAAAAAGTTCGTGAATGGATTTACTGGTTCCCATGTCAGAAAGTTTGGGAACCCCTGCTCTACAGCATGCTGCACTACAGGCTGCAGTGAAAATGTTTAGCAGACAAGAGACAGCAGGAAAAAATTTTAGCAGCTTCCCACTGCTGAAGCTTTTCCCCGTGGTGTGGAAAGGCTCCAGAACACTACACAGCTAAAATCAGCAAGATAACCATATGAGCAACTACACAGAGATTCAGAGGGGTAGCCAAGTTAGTCTGCAACAGGAAAAATTAAAAAAAAACAACAACTAAAAGTCTAGTAGCACCTTAAAGACTAACAAAACACGTATATGGTATCATGAGCACAACCTACTTTTTCAGAAGACTGGAGTATTAGAAGTCCTTCGGAAGAAGTGGGTTGTGCCCACGAAAACTCATGATACCATCTACATGCTTTGTTAGACTTTTCATTGTTTTTTAACTTTTTTATTTTTACACAAAGAGTTTTGCAAGGTATATATCCTGGGGATTCAGGCATGTAGACCAGGTCTCACCATCAACACTGTTATTTATATCAGTGCAGCTGGACATGCAATATTTGTACTTTACATGCCACCATAAGTTACACACAACTTTAGACATTTTATTTTTCCTGGAGAACTTTCTCCTTCCACAGTGTTTCATACTCTGTCTAGAAAAACAAAAAAAGAGGTTTGATTTTTCCTTTTCACATGTAAATTGGACACCAGTTGAAAAATGCCCCTTGACCTTTATTCTAGCATTGATCTGAAAGGGTGATATGGATAAAGGACCCTCTGTGGTCCTTACATTGGAACAGTTGTGGGCTGCTTATTCTGTGTTCCTTATTAAAGGCAGAGCGTATATCACATTCCATACATTACTTCAAAAGTAGCAAGTTCCATGTGTATATTATAGTAATAAATTCCTATTTGGAATGTAATACACAGGACAGTTTATTCATTTTTTCTTTCTTCCTATATAAACCCTAAGAATACAACATTCTTAGTTTGTGACAAAAAAATTAAGGTGGTGTGAGTATTCAAGTACACGTGAACAAAAAAACAAAAACAAAACAAAAAAAGAGGAAATAATGCAAAAAGCTATCTGGCTGTGCATTCTCACCAGATACAAAGTTGAAATAATAGTCTTATGGCTATTGTAATTAGAGAAACAAAAACAACAAAAACAAACTTTCTAAACTATGCAGGATCAACCAGGGTCAATCTAATCTTCACTGCCCGGACCCCATTCTTACGGGAAGGTTTTCTGACTTCGCTAGGACAATGCAAACATATAGATGTGGCTGCACTGATCAGATTGCATGACTGAAGCATGTAAATTTAATTCTACAAATATTTACTATCCGACAAATTGTCTACTTAGTACCATGAATCCTGCCATTGAATGGCAAAGGACTGAGTCAGAATTGTTTGGATTCAAACCTGTTGTTCCAAGAAGGCTAAATGTTTCAAACTTGAAGCTCAGATTAATAAATCATCCATTCTGGCTGTCTATTCTTCATGTTACATACTCCTGTGTCTTCTTTAACAGATCTCAAATGTTCATATTCACATGACCTTTTCATAAGCACTTTATGTACTACTTAGTATTTCGCATTTCAAAGAAATGTGGCACTGTGAGAAAAATCCACGTTTTAGAACTTCAATTCACCATTTTCAATCACATACTTTTTCCAAAAATTTGCATCTGGAAAGAAAAAAAATCCTTAAGCTCTACACCACTACCTGATTTCTTATATTACAAAGTGCTCTTTCCACATGATTAGAGATTCATGGGCCTGTGACAGTGAACCCTTTATACAATTAAATCTCGGAACCCTGTAATGCCCATATTTAATCTAACTGTGCCCCCTACTGGCCTGAAAGATACATACAAGAGAGTATGTTAAAATGCTAAAGATGTTACAGATAATAGGGTTGCCACCTACCTGGTTTTTAGCTAGTTTGGATAGTATTTTTACTGTTTTGCTGATTATAACATGAAATATGATGGGGGCAAGGGAAGGACAGTTCCCATCTGTGACCTGAAGCTGGGAGCCACCCTTACCCACACACAGCCCCCCCCAGTTGCTCTCCTACCTGCATAGCCCCTAGCTACTCCCTACCTGTGCCATGAGCAGTTTTCAAACTTTCTGAGCTGTCTTTTCCCTTTGAGTTATATTTTTTGTTTGCAACTGCAGCCACATATGATGGGGGCAAGGGAAGGACAGTTCCCATCTGTGACCTGAAGCTGGGAGCCACCCTTACCCACACACAGCCCCCCCCAGTTGCTCTCCTACCTGCATAGCCCCTAGCTACTCCCTACCTGTGCCATGAGCAGTTTTCAAACTTTCTGAGCTGTCTTTTCCCTTTGAGTTATATTTTTTGTTTGCAACTGCAGCCACACACCCACACCCACACCCACACACCCAGACAGGCTGAGGGGCT